AGCTCTACTGCGCCACCAAGTACCACCTCCAGCTGCATCCGAGCGGCCGAGTGAACGGCAGCCTGGAGAACAGCGCCTACAGTGAGTGTCCGGCCAGAGGTGGGCGGGAGGGACGGGCGGGCTCGGCCCCCTGTCGCGGAGTCCCAGGTGGGAGCAGAGCTGATGTCCATCCGAAGACTAAGCCTAGGTCCCAGCTACAAATCCCTTCGACATGCCCTGCCCGTCCCGCTTCCCAAGGGGCTGCACAGGAGGCGAGCATGATTCTGACAGGTTTGTATCTCAGTGAAAAGCCGCTGGATAAGGATTTATCGCCCTCTTTATTGTTTTGACCACCCCGGGACGCATGACCAGTCCCTTCCGTCCTCTTTGCTTTCAGCCGGTGCGCCAAGGACACTCCCCTGGGCAGAGCTTAGTTTTCACGACTAGGTGTCGGGCGATGGGCTTATCCCTCGTCCTGCGCTCTGTAGAGCACGCGACAGGACAGAAAGCCGTCCCCGCGTATTTTGGATGCAGCCGGCACGCACCTACGACCCACGGCTGAATAATACCTAACGCCAATTCCCAAGCACTGCAGGGTTTGGCTCCGTGGGTGCAGTACACGCGAGCCGAGCTCGGTCCGGAGTGTTGCACGCCGCGTGGGAGGAACTCACCGCGCCCGGGGCGCAGGAAGCCGAGTGGGGGGCGAGGGCGGCTGTAGGAACCGCAGCTTCCTCCTTCAAAGCCGCAGCCCCGCGGGGGCGTTCTGGGGACCAGCCCCGACCCGGCCTGTAGCGCTGGGCTCCTCACGAGCACCCCCTCCCCAGTTGTCCAGTCCGGGCGGGCCCCAGATGCAGAAGAGGGGCACCTTCACAGTCTCCCCTGGATGGGGGAGTGCTCCTCTGGTGCAAGCTCTAAAGGTCGTCCCCTGCACCCTTCCAAACCGTGTGTAGGGTAGGACCCAACTGGTCGTGGTTATCTGAACTATGCTGGGTCCCAGGCGGGCATCAGAGATGCACTCGGTGGAAAGGGAGTGAGTCCTCAAACCACTATCCCAGGGGACATTGCCCTCCCCTCCCAAAAAGAGCTATCCTATTCACAGGAAAAGCGCCTGGAGGATTTTTGTTTGGTTGGTTTTATATTTTATTTATTTAGTGTGCCACGATGTGTATGTAGGTCATTGAAGCACTTGCCGGAGTCGGTTCTCTGCTTCGACCATGCGAGTCCGGGAATGGAACTCAGATCTGCCATCTGAGCTGGGGGACCATTAACTTTTAGACCTACTCTTGGGCCTGGATGGGCCCCAGTCACCTTCCCTCTGCACCTAGGCTCTTCTGCCCCAGGCTACCTTTCTGCACTAATGATTGGATCCTTTGCCTGACAGTGTGGGTAACTCTCTGACTGGGCTGCATTAAGTACTGGCTTCCCCAGGAGTCTCAGACACCTCTTCTGGGGCTCCCTCTTCCCCAGGGTTTGGATCGCCCAACCACTATATGTGTCCATGGACAAGTTCATTTGCCCTCAGCCTCAGCTTTCTAGAACAATCCGCTTCACAAGGGTGCACTGAATACAAACTGAATTGATCTGTCTGTGCTACACCCAAGACGCCTGACAGGGGCAGAACTCCGCCACTGTGTCTTCTCCTGGGGTTAGGAGTAATGTCTTGGCACAGTGCCTGAATGTCCCCTTCTTCACCTACTATCTAATGATTTCTTCCTACTAGGATTTCCAACCCCTCCACCATGACCTGCTGGTCTTGGCTGCCCTCCTGTCCCAGCTTCCTAAGCCCAGGGTGAGGTTCTGCTCAGGTCGGGCAGGTGACCGAACCTTCCTGTCTCTTTCTAGGCATCCTGGAGATTACTGCGGTGGAAGTGGGCGTGGTGGCCATCAAAGGGCTCTTCTCTGGGCGGTACCTGGCCATGAACAAGAGAGGACGGCTGTATGCTTCGGTGAGTCCCATCCCTAGTGGGCAGGTGCTGGTGTAATAGCCATCTGGCTTGAGGGCCAGAAGGAACATGAGCGGTAGAATGCTTGGCTCCCAGACTCAAGCTGGTCCAGGTCCCTAGGATTCAGAGTGCCCACCCAACCTGTCTGAAGTCAGTCTCTCTCTGAGTTACAATGGTGGAGATAGGAGAACATGGCAGCAAGGATCCAGACCTCCGTGAGAGTGAATAACCCAAGATAACTGGGCAGTTGAGGAAGGGGAGGTCAGGGCAAATCTGCCCTGCATCTGTGGAAGGAAGAAGATGGGTGCTTGACCTGTTCTCAGGGTGGGAAGGCAAGAGCTGTCTGGCTTAGAAGGGAAAGGGATGCAGAAATGATTGTCAGTCTAGTGCTGGAGGCACAGGTGTGAGGACCCAAGTGAGTCCTCAGCACCCATGTACCAAAACTGGCCAAAGTGCTGTCACCCCAGCACTAGATGGGAGGAGACGGGATGTTTCTGGGGGCTTTCTGGCCAGTCCAGCTGAATCAGCCTCCATGCACATGGCCCTGATGCCACCTGGAAGCAGGAGCTCTGGTTACCTCCTCCACACTCCTAATGGACACACCCCTTGGCTGAGCGATGGGTCCCAGCTGCTGCAAAGCTGGGCTGGTGATTTCCCCACCTCTCGGACCCTGCATCCTGTCCCACTCTAGTGTGAGCGAACCCAGCTGACTTTACATATGAACCTGTCCCCCTCACCCCGAAACTCTGCCATGAGGTGAGGTCTCAGGTGTCCTCAGTGACAGTTTATATCTTTCTGCCCACAGGGAAGAGCAGAGTGGGATGGGACCACGGCTGTGGTCTCCTGGTTTCGGGGGAGCAGGGGATGGTGAGGTCAGGGGTCCTGGCTGGATGGACTAGAACTTTCCAGAGAACACATCAGAAATGATCTCACAAACTTACAGACAGATCTGATCCTATATAAGGCCCTAGCCTCTTTGAGCTGACTGTTGGCCTCTAGGGCTTCTTCCTGCAGGCCTGTGCCTGGTTTCCTGAGTGCCCAGCATGGCTGCCCATGGGCCAGTGACAACCACACAGTCAATCCCATCTCCCTGAGTTATAGATCACAGTAGCCCAGAACGTTCAGGGATAAGAGAGCTGGCCAAATGCGAATCCTCCCCGCAGCACAGTGAAACTCAGGACTCCTTCAGCCCAGCTCACGGTCTCAGGTGACACTGGTTCCAGCTCAGCCAATCAGGAGCCATGCCGGACCTCCTCCTCTCTTAGCCACATAACTATCCATCTCCAGGTCCTCAGTGTGCTCCTTGAGTTGCTGTCTTCAACACGCACCTCTCCTCACCTCCTGCCGCCCAATCCCAGAAGCCGCATCTTGTCACGCTGGCCTCGTCCCTTCCCACTTAGAGCTGCAACAATCTTGGGGTTGGATGACTGCCCAGTAGCTTCTCTGTCCTCCAGCCTGTCTGTTCATTGTCTATTATCCATCCATCCATCTATCCATCCACCCACCCACTCAGCCAGCTCTCTATCCACTCATCCATTCCTCTACCTAGGTACCCATCCCATCCACCCAACCATCTATCCGCCCAGACATCTACCACCTAATCACTCAACCCATCATCCATCGATCCATCCACCCACCCACCCACCCACACATTCACTTATTCACTCAGCCACCACTCATCCACCACCCATCCACCCACCTATCCATCCACTCAGTAACATGCTCATTCATCCACCTCCATCATACTCTGTTTAGCACACACCAAGCACTGAACCCAGTGCAAGCCTACAGCAAAAAGGGAAAACTGCCCTTTGTCCCCATAGGAGGGCTAGTGGAGAGAAGTCACTTAGAGCAGGGCACAGTCTTGGGAAAGGTAGGCTGGCCAGGCTGCATAGACGTTGGCAGGTGTGGACAGATGGTCCAGGTAGCCTCAGGAGACAGGGAGGCAGTGGGGAGGTGCGGTCCTATTGACATCATGGCCTCTGTCTGACAGGAGCACTACAATGCAGAGTGTGAGTTTGTGGAGCGGATCCATGAGCTGGGCTACAATACTTACGCCTCCCGCCTGTATCGCACAGGGCCCAGCGGGCCAGGGACACGGCGGCAGCCTGGTGCCCAGAGACCTTGGTACGTGTCTGTAAATGGCAAGGGTCGGCCACGCAGGGGCTTCAAGACCCGCCGCACACAGAAGTCCTCCCTCTTCCTACCCCGAGTGCTGGGCCACAAAGACCATGAGATGGTGAGGCTGCTGCAGAATGGCCAGTCGCGAGCCCCAGGAGAGAGCAGCCAGCCCAGACAGCGGCGGCAGAAGAAGCAGAGCCCAGGAGACCATGGCAAGATGGAACCCTTGTCTCCTAGGGTCACTCCAGGCACCCATCTGGAGACAGGTGAACTGGCTGTGGCCTAAGTGGCCACCCTGAGAACTTTCTGAGGTCAACTCCCGCAGGCACCCAGGACCATCTTGGAGGCCTGGCCTCCCCACCCTTGTCACTGGGTTGGCTGCTTGGGGGACCTAGAACTTGCTTGTCCTTGGTGGCTTTCAAAGAGCAAGTGCCAGCCGCTGAGGGGCTTGAGTCAAAGCCCCTGAAAGACTTGAAGTTCGAGATGTATGTGGGATTACATGGGAGGGAGCTTTTGTTGCAGGGGTGACCTAAAGCTCTGGCGGAGCCCAGGCAGAGGCAGACAGATGGTCCTGGCAACCGAGGCAGTGGACAGTGGAAGGGGCTATGATTCAAACATTAAATATATCACCCTGTCTGGCTATTTAACAGCTGGGATACAGGCTGAGGATACCTCAAGACTCCTACTGAGACATTCTGCAGGGGGTGAGGGGGCAGTGGTCTCCAGGCTTCACTGCACTGTGTCAGGCAGGCTGTATACAGAGAAAGGGCTGGGGTACTGCCCGCATGCATGTGCCTGTTCTCATGTTTGCAGATATCCACAAGGGTGTGCAGGAGAGTGTTGGTGTATTCCCAAGAGGCTATGTGTGTATGAGGCATGCATACAAACTGACCTGGACTTCTGACTTCCAGGCCTCTGTGTGTGTGAAGTGTGTTCCTGAGTGTGTGTGGATGGAGAGATGAAAAGAGGCTTGCTCTGTTTTAGAATCCCCTCTTTCCCTTATGGTGATTTCATCAATGTGCCCAAACGCCCGGCCAGAAGCTTTGAAAGGGAAAGCGGATTTACTTTGGCTCACAGTCTGAAGAACACAGTCCCTCAGGGTGAGGGGGAAGGTGTGGTGATGAGGTCAGATGGAGGCTGTGGCAGCAGGAGCGTGTAGTAGCCTGTTCACATCTCCACAGAACAGGAAGCCAAGAGGGGGATGCTGGGGCTCAGCAAAGAGAGAGAGAAGAGTGTAGTGCCTGACTCTTTTTCTTTTTAGGCACATGGTTTGTGGGTACAGTCCATCATGGTGGGGAAGCCATGGCAACAGGACGTGAGGCAGCTGGTCACATGGCTTCCACAGTCAGAGGGTAGAGAGAGAAGAATGCTGGTGCTCAGCTCACTTTCTCCTTTTTATTCAGTCTGGGATCCCAGCCCATGGAATAGTCGCCCCCACTACACACATTCAGGGTGGGTCTCTCCTCAGTTAATCCTCTCTGGAAACCCTAACAGACAAGCACAGAGGCATGTCTCTTAGGTGATTGCAAATCCAGTCAGGATGGCCATGGAGATGAAGCATCCTTCCCTAGAAGCTGTGTCTCTCTAAGAACTGGTTTCAGCAGATGAAGCACTCAGTCACAGATCCCTTCCTTCCTGCTCTTGCTGCCGATGTCCAGGGCTCAGCTCTGCATCTTTCTGAGGGAATCTTGTCACGGAGCTGCCCCGGCATCGGCATAGGTAGATATAGCCCCAGTCCCCAGACCTGTTTCCTGAACTGGCATCCAGGGTGACATGGTGACAGTGGTAATGGGGGTTTACTTTTCCCAGAATGAGCCAGACACCTCAGCAGCCCTGGGGAGGGCTGGGAGGAAGAGGGGGTGTCTGTTAGCTACTATTTAAAACTGATCCCCGACAGGAGTCTGAGTTACTTCTGCAGCTGACTGCCTTCTTGGGGGTCTGTCCCCAGCCCTTTGGGAGGTCAGTGGGCTCACACCAGACCTGGGTTAGGAGGGAGGCAGGACGACATTCAGGTCCTGTTCAGTTCATATCTTGGTCGCTTGACCCCAGTTGACACAACACAGGCTTTTCTAAGAGGGGTGGTACTGAGTACCAGATATGTGATCCTTACAGGGAGGAAAGGTGCCAGCCCAAGCCATTAGGGTCCCGATGGAGAGAACTGGCCGTAGCTGGAATAGGAGTAGGGGACACATCCGAAGGAGACCCATGGGGGAGGCATACCAAGACACTTAGAGCATCCCACTGGTGAGATTCTGCGTGGACCTGGGTCTGAGTCAGGGTGAAGCTTCCACAGCTAAGTGGCTGGAGGCTGCCAAAGCTCCAGCAGTGGGGGGGGGCACAGCAAGAGAGTCTTGAACCCTTAGAAGGAGCTAGTCTCACCCACTCCCGTGACCTTGAACTTCCGGCCTTTGACCTACAACATAATATGTTTCTGCTGTTTAAGCCCCCACCAGATTGGTGATATTTTGTTTGTTTCTGTTTTTGTTTGTTTGTTTGGTTGGTTGGTTGGTTGGTTGATTGGTTGTGTTTGTGTGTGTATATGTGTGGTGCTGGGTGACTGTGTGTGTTTTGGGGTGCTAGGGATGGGAGCTGGGGTCTAGAACATGCCAGACAGGCTACTGAACCACACCTCAGTGTTGCTGTGATATTTGTTCTGGCTTCCCCAGCACAGTAGTACCAGGCCTGGCTGCCTGGCCTTGGGTGACCCTAAGAGGAAGAAGACCCCATACTGATGAACACAGAGATAGATCAGCTCCCAGGTTCAAAGTCACCCTAACTCCTAGGAGTCAGGCCTCAGCCTAGGGGTAGCAGGGCATGTCAGGAAGCTGTTTCCTTCCACACAGGGGAACTGGAGTAGGTCAGAGCTCTAGAAGAAGAGTGGCCGGGGTGAGGTGGGGGGGGCGGGTAAGAAGAGTCCCATTCCTTCTGCCGGCTCTCACTCTCTGCAGGGAACTCAGGTTCCATGAAAGGTCTCCTTGGAGATTTTCCCAGGGGGGTCAAACACCCATCAGGAATGAATGGTGCAACTGTCCTGAGGGCTGTGGTGGTGACTCTGAGAACACAGAGCTGGACCCAGGATAGTCCTAGCAGCTTTCTGGAACAAATGAGGGAGAGCGGGACTCCACACAGGTTGAAACAGCTGGCCTCACAGCAGCATCTCTCACTGAGGCCCCTAGGGGGCGCAACCAGTTTCCATTCCCCCACAACAGAAAAATTGCAGCCAGATGCCTGTGGAATATTACTCTGCCTGAAAAAAGAAAACTCTAAAAGAAAGCTTGATGCTGAGTGAAGTAAATGGATCCCGGGCCTCATAGTCAGGATGTCAGCTCTATAAGAACCAAGTGTGACGAAGCTGCCAGGAGTCAGGAGAGGGTAGGGAATGTGTTTGATGGGGACAAAAACTGCAGTCTGGGGAGAGGAGAAAGTTCTGCAGATATATGCAGGGATGGCTAAATGTCACTAAACTGTCCACCAGAGGGCCTGCTGTGATGTGGGGGGCCATGACTGGCTGCAGTGTCGCTTCCAGAAGTGACTGGGCAGCACTGCTGAGCAGAACTGAGATGCAATTCGGTCGTCGGAATGTTTGCCAATCATGGGTGAAGCAATGCCGGATCCCATCCTCAGCACCACATAAATTGGGTGTGGTAGTGTACCACTGAGAACCAAGTATTCAAGAGATGGAGGAATGGGGGAAGATTAGAAGTTCAAGGTCATCCTCAGCTACTTAGTGAATCTGAGGTCAGCCTGGGCTCCATGAGACCTAAGAAAGGAAAGAAAAGGAAAGGAGGGGAGGAGCTGGGGAGATGACTCAGAGAGTAAAGTACTTGCTGTACAAGGTTAAAGACCTGAGTTTGAATCCCCAATGCCAATATAAAATAATAACACTGTGATACCCACCTGTAACCCCAATTCTGTGCTAAGGAGTCTGACAGGAGGGTCTCCGGGTCTGGCTGAACAGCCTGGCTGAATCACTGAACACAACTCTAGGTTTGAAGAGAACCTGTGTCAAAAATTAAGGTGGATCTCAGCACTCAGAAGGCAGAGGCAGTCAGATCTCTGTGAGTTATGAGTTCGAGGTTAGCCCAGCCTATGCAGAGAGTTCCAGACCTACCAAGGCTAAATAGAGCGAACCTATCTTAACCTGGAAAAAAATAAAAAGTGGAGAATGACGACACAGGGAAGCGTTGGATTCTAGGGCTGGGCTCCGTGTGTGCACTCACAGGCATGCACACATACACACTCACACATAAATGCATACACCACATACA